TTTTTCTCAGATTGATTACTCAGACACAAACGGATGTGCCAAGGATGCCAGTCCAAGTGGGCAGTTTTCTCTATAGGCGCAAGGAGCCCTGGAGTGATTTGAAGAATCTACTGACGAATGCATCCACTCTGGTCTGAAGGTCCTACCACCACCTGATCAGAACCTATCTCCTTCCTGAAGGAGTAGACCCAGAGGACCAGAAGCGTGGATCCGGGGACAGTGGCCCCAGAGCATCAGCTCTGTAAATAATCTGAGACTCTGAGTATCTCGAGGAAGTGCCTGCAGCATTCCTGGGTGGAAGAGCCAGTCCCTGAACCCTTGACTGAGGTTGGAGGTGGGGACTCAAGGTACAGGACTAAGAATGAAGCGTGGCTCCCACAGCCTTGGACTCCAGCAGGCAGCTGACATGGAAAAGCCTGGGTAAGGGGATTTGTTTGTTCTGTTGTTTTTGTTTATCCAAAAGCAATTTCAGCAGGTAAACTGTGGATGCAGGCAGCCTGGGAGCATGGAGTCCTGGCCCAGAGCAGGCACTGTGGCTGGTCCAGCTCTCCCCAGAATTCAGTCTTCAGTTGCAGTAGCTCTTTGGTGTTCCATGGCCCTGCACTTCACCTTGGTGAGGGAGAATAGGCTCAGGGACGGCAGCTGAGCTTACTTCGGCCTTCTTATACGCTGTAGAGACAAAAGGAAGAACAGTGGGAGGAGCACAGTCCGGATCTAAAAACCATGGGCTGCACTTCTTCCGTCCTCCAGGGAAGAGCCGGAGCTGTGCCCATGGGTGCTTTAACGGCCCATGCCACACTGGTACGTGAGGGGTCAGCTCAAGTGCCTTTGGAGGAAACTTGGGTGACAATGGCCCAGGACGCCCTTTCCTTCTCTCTTTGGGCAAGTGGTCTTGGAGAAAAGTTGTGTCTACCTTGCTGCCATTGAGTCCTGTAGCCAGACAGATGTTGAGCAGGATGTCATGGATGTCAAAGAGTATTCTCTGTTCTTGGGCCCTTTGGGGGAAGACCCAAGCCTAGTCCTGCGTCGGCTAACAACTGTTGAAGAAACAGAGTTCAGTGTCCCCTGATGTGACTGAGTCCTATCACTGTGTTCAGGTAGGAGAGACAGGGATCTGGCATTCGGTCCCAAAGAGCAAGATGG